GGCTGCACCTACTCCCCTCCCAAAGTCCCAATGCAACAAATGATGATGAATCTATCGCCACCAAAGAGGAAGATGTATTAGTAGAAGTGGGCATGCCAAGTGCAGTAGGTAGTTTATTCGGGTGTCCATGCTTAGTGGTTTACAGTAAAACAAAGATCTAAGGAACTAAGGAAGTATCCATCCTCCTTGCCTTTCAGGCTTTTCTTTGTTCTCTTCCTATTTTTTGTTTTTCTTTTCTTCTATTTAAAAAACCATCCGACTTTCTTCTTTGCTCTTTTTCTTATCTTGGTTTCTCCATCATGTTTCTATTATCCTAGTTTTTCTTATCTTTTGGATGATCTGGCTGAGACTTGTCGGATATCAAGACGAAATACTTGAAGAAGGTTAATGAGTATCAAGGGAAACAAAAAGAAAAAGAAAAATCACGGCTTGAAAGAGGCCATGAAAGTCCAGAAGAGAGACAAATTTTATAAAACCTTTAATATGAGCAGGAGCGCAGCCTGCCAGACAGATAAAGATACCAGTCTTGGTGCTGGTAGGAAAGTGGAAGATCCCTACATTTTGAATGTGATTGAGGATAGGAAAACATCACAACCTCTCCCGATGATAGTAACTTCAGAAAGAAAAATCTTTGAGGATAAGTTAAACCTTCAGAGCTAAGGTGGGAACTAAGAGTTTGAGTACAACTATAGGGTGCAATTAAGATCGAAAGAGATGAAACTTGTCCTGTTATTGAGATTTCAGTGATTCCTAAGATGTTGATTCAACAACCTAGACCTACTAATCCTTGTGAAGGTAGCCTAAGAGACAAAAAGAAAACTAAACATCTGGTTTGCACATTCCACTGGCCAGTTCTTAGTACCAAGAGAAAGAACACACTCATCCGAAAAGGCTCTCTATGGATGACTCAAATATTGCTCATCTAGTCAATCTTGATGCTCTTGAAAAGAATAGAAACAAAGACAATGTTCGGTGGTCATGGTGCTTGATAGCGAAAATATTGGGTGAGTCAAAATTGACCCAGACCATCACAGAGAAAGCCAAGGATTGGGGAATAAAATGCAAGGCAGACATCTGATCCATTGGTAATGGTCTTTTCTTATTGTAATTCTCATACACTAATGATTAATCTGATTCTGAATGAAGGCCTGTGGATAGTTAATGGAAAGTATTTTGTTACTTTCAAATGGCAAGTTCGTTTTTACAACCAAGCTTGTGGAGGCTAACCTTTGGATCGGGCTACCTAGCCTACCACTGGATTGCTAGTCTAGGGATGATCTTGAGATCATTCTTACAAATGTGGGAAAGGTTTTAAAGTTAGAGAAAATTACACAAATATTGAACAAATGCTCAGAACTGTCTASCCCCATGTGTATGTGTGAGAGAGGGTTGATCTAACTCGGTCGTTTAAGGTGTAAATCCCCCTTACATTAGGAGGACAGGAACATTTCATTAGAGTCTTCTATGAGAATATACAAATATTGAACAAATGCTCAAAACTGTGTACCCCCATCAGTTTCCCATATGGTTACAAATCTAAGGAGAAAGATGCATGATTAAATGGTCATTCATCACCAAAAGAATACCAACAACAAGAGAACTTCAGTGGCTTTTCAACGATCTGGTACAGAAAAACCGAAAGGAGAGATGGACTACCAAAGAAAACAACTGGTCTCAAGCAAGAAATCAGAGGAAATATTGAGCCAGAAACTTAACTAAAACAAGGTACATTAATCCAGAGCACATGACCATTGAACCCATCCAGCTCCAAGTACCCAAGCAGATGTGGGTCGAAAAAAGTAATGCAAGTATGGGATACTTAACAGTTGGTGGATTATCAACAAGCACCAAACAGAAAAATAACAATGCCCAGTCCAACCAAGAAGATAATGAAGATGAAAATGCGAATAGGCACTATGGAGAAGATGAGGATAATTTTGAGGGATTTGAAGAGGAAGGTGAAGAGGACATGGGGGATGAATGGGAAGGCCAAGACCTATAGGAATTCTCCATGACTACCCATGATGACAATGGGCATAACAATATAAACACTATGTTGAATGCAAGTATTTTACATGGTTTTGTACCTTTGTTTATGCCCCGCCAACCGTACTAATCAAAGAAATGTTTGGAAGTGGATCAAGAATATGAGTCCAGATCTCCTAACCACACAAACTCTGTCCATGTTTATCGCAGCCACACTTGGAGAACATCTCAACCTCTGCATAGTATTATGTAGGGGGAGATGTTCCAAATTCATAGGGGGTAGTGTGTTGTGGGTAGACGTGGGCAGGTGATCCGGGTAATGTAATCCATGCATGGTGCCTTATGGGTGACTTTAACACCCCCGGGTATTGTGATAATAAATTAGGGGGTAAGAAAGTAACCCCTAGCTATACTAGAAAGTTAATCGATTCTTGCAATCTAATTGAGATGGATATGAAAGGATTATAATTCACTTGGAAAAACAAAACAACTAAAGGAAAGATTGATTGGGTTTTCTCAAATGATTTAAGGAGAAGCTATTATCCTAATGCTTCCCTTATTAACCTCTTTGTATCTGCTGATTCAATGAATCAATCCATTAGTGTTGTTGTCACTGATGAAGAAATTTTTTCCACCCTCCTCTCCATGAAAGAGCTCAAAGCTCCGAAACATGATGGCCTTAATGCTCTATTTTAAAAAACAAAAGATATATTGGCCAATAATTGGTGACACAATCTATAACATTGCAAAGGCCTTCTTCCACTCAGGCAAAATGAACAGGATCTTGAGCAAAACATTTATTATGTTCATCCCAAAAATTCCAACTCGGAAACAAACAATTAGTCTATGCAATGTTATCTACAAGATTATTTCAAATATTCTAGTTAACAAAATTAATCCATTATTGGATGACATTATTTCTCCATTAAAGAATGATTTTGTCCCTAATAGACAAATCAATAACAATATCCTCATAGCTCACGAAATGTTCCACACTATGCGGAGGAAAAAAGGCAAAACAGGTATAATGGCCTATAAAACTGATATGGAGAAGGCTTATGGTATGCTACAGTGGAATTTCATTGAAAAAAATCCATAAAGATTTGGGTTCCATAAAAAATGGATTGATTGGGTCATGGAGTGCATTAAATCAGTCTCTTATCAAATCCTAATTAATGGCATTCTTTCAAGTGATATTACTCCTGCTCAAGGTATCGGACAAGGAGATCCCCTTTCCCCTTACATTTTTGTGCTTTGTGCAGAGGCCCTCACAAAGAACCTTGAGAGGGAAGTAGTGACTCTAAATAATCCTATTGTTGTAAGGCCTCCAAGAATGGACCATCCATTCCCATTCATCAATTTGCAAATGACAATCTCATTTTTGCAAAAACTATATCTTGTTTTGCCTCAAAATAAAAGAAATTCTGGAAAATTTCGCTAGAGCTTATGGGCAAGCCCCAAACTTTGCAAATTAATGTTCTCCAGAAAATCCATCACAGACTGCAAAAAGTCTTATCAAGAATTATTCGAATTCCTCTAGAGACAAAAAAAATGGCTTATATTTAGGTGCTACAATTTTTAATAACAAATTCAATAAAGAGACTTTCAATTTTTTAGGAAGAAAATCAGAAATTCAGTGGGAAATTAAATTGTTGGAAAAATAGAGAAAGAGAGAGAATAGCCCTCGTAAAAGCTTCAATCAGCACGATGCCTCAATATATCATGAGGTCTTTTAACATTCCAAAGGGTGTGATTGATGTGATAACTAGGAAAAAAAGAGATTTGCTATGAACAAGTAACAGTGAATGGAAACCCCTTCATCTAGTAAATTGGGATCAGGTTTGCACCTCAAAGAAGGGTCTTCTAGGTTTAAAAAATCTTGGATGGGTTAATGATGCTTGTATAGCCAAGATTGGTTAGAAAATCCTTAATGAGAAGGAAAACCCGTGGGTCCAAGCTGTGTCTAGGAAATATTTAAGGAGAGAAAACTTCTGGGAAATTAAAAAGAAAAAAGACCAATCTTGGGCTTGGAGGTGTTGGGTGGGAAGCCGACAATAGTAAAGAAATAAATTTTTTTTACTGATGATTCCCTAATTAGCAGTTGCGTACTTGCGTGAACACGAATTCCATATCTAACTCTAATTTGAAAGTTAGTGATGTCATTGATATAGAGAGAAGAATTTGGAAAGAAGCAGTAATTCTAACTTTGGTTCTTGCTCAAGTTTGGAAGAAGATTAGAACCATTTTCATTCCTTGTATACCCAAGGAGGACAGACCATTTGGGAGGTTAAAGTTTATAATATTAAATTCATTTTGTTAATACTAATAATATTTTAATAATTTTTATTTTAATTTGCTTTTACTATTACAATCCAAATTCGATTCCAATCGGACAAAAGGAAATCCTATTCAAACTTGAATATAACAAACTAAATTTGGACCTAGCTATATCCCATCCGATTTGATCTGTTTGCAGCCCTCTTAGTGTTTAGTGGTTAGATCACGGATGTAAAACAGGTCGGGTTACTTTCTAATACCTCAGGCATAGTAGCATGGCCCAAGCCCAATCCAATCTAAGATAGTCAAATATTATATTGGGCTGGGCCTATGTTTGGAAATTGGGCTTGATCTTGGGCCCAGTCCAGGCTCAAACCTATAGCTATAGGCACACAAGTCTTAGGTTTGGGACAAACCTGGACCAGCCCACCCAAGTTGCACCCTAAAACATTTCATTAAAATAAACTTATAAGCCTCTACAAAGTTTAGATGAACTCAAATTATTGACCACTCAATTTGTTGGGTCGTGCTCGTGTGCAATGCATATCAACAGTTCAAGCTGAGTCAGATCCTGATCCTTATCAGTTCTCAGATCATATTCAGACAGGTCACTTTCTTTTTTTGGAAAAAGACAGGTCACATCCAAATTATATAATTGATTTCTAGCGATGAAACGTTAATTCTGAATTGAGATTGAATCCAATCAACAAATTTAAATCGATATGTTTAGGACAAAACATGGAATTTTATATTTTGACCATTATTCACGATGAAATATCGGAGGGAATTCTTCTGCATAATTACATTGTGTTATTTTTTTATCATTATTCATGGAATTACTCTGTTCTGCATTTTTGAGTGTTAAAGAGTGTCAAAATTACACATCCTCCTCCCAATTGTCACAAGGAAGAATAGCCACAGAGTGTTTTACTAATGCTGTTTCCTTCATCTTCTAATCTGCATAATTAAAATCAATAAGAAAATAAAAATATGAGAAAGGTGAGCTGGCTGTCGCAAATTGCACTTCAGTGAATTACTGAATTGAGAATTGAATTACCTTCCATTTTCTTGGACATCTTTTCCATCAGAACTGACTATTTTGGGCACTTGTAATTCATCAGAACCACTCGGTTTATCTATGAGAAGTCCTGATAGACTTTTGCAGAACTGGTAATCATGATCAAGTTAATAACTAAGTACACTGATTCACAAAATTTCAGCTTGAGCAATTGATTTTTACCTCTTTATACATCCTTGGATCCCCTACAAACTTTGATATTTCTACCACACAATGCATGGGAGTTACTTGAATTACCTGATTTTTGACAAATTTCATGTTAAGACAACCATGAGAAGCTGCTTTTCTAGATTACAGACCATGAAATAGTTACCTCTGCTGATAGGTTGAAACAGATTCTAGAAAATCTGGTCATCTTGTGTTTCTGATATATTAGCACCTGGTAAGATTAAAAGGATAGTATTGGTAGTAAGTACTTGGGAAATTTCCTTGCAAGACAGGGAGAACCTAGAAACTTACCTTTGAATTATTCATTCTTTCAACTGATAGACTTGCATCCTTTGCAGCATCCTTGATTTTTTCTATGGTCTCATGAATTGGATGTCTGGAACCAAGCCTTGTTTTCTTTTTGTTGTCATCCTTAATGTGGCAAAGGATTTGAAGATACTTAGGAATTGATGGGAAAAGCATGTAAATAGTTGAACAAGTATCAGAATTTTGGGGTTACCTGCTGTTCTTCAAAGAGACCAGACAAATCAAGGTCATTAGACATTGCTATCAGTAGGAAAGCATTGATGAAACTCGATGATTTGGATACGCCTACTTCAGTGGACTTTCTCTGCATCAATTTTAGATTTCTTGAACCATTGACAAACACCCATGTTGTCAGTTCATTGAATGAAACATCTTCTACAGGTCAATAAAATTGCCCTTACCTCCATTTCATTAATTGCAGTATTGGTGGCCTCCAAAGTAATGTCTACATTGCAGTTTATCCCTATAAAAGGCTCGTAGTTTATTTGAAACCATTCATCTTCAACAATCTCTGCTATTGTGATCCTCTATAGTGAGAAAAGAGAAAATCAATTCATGGTTTCTGTTAATGGGAGGAATTATTTAGGACTTTGAGAGTTTACCCTTCTTTCCAGTGGTTCAAGAATCCTGGAAATTAGTTTCTTTTGGCTCCCTGTAAACCACTCTGGACACTTGTACTCTGCTCTCGATATCTTTGCACAAACACAGGTGTCAGTAAAATGAAGTTAATCATGTAGAATTGGAGTATCTTATCTCATAGAAACATACCATCCTAGACAAGTTCATTAGGTTAATATCATCAAAGGGCAGATAACCAGCAAGTAGTTCAAAAAGGATTACTCCACAAGACCAAACATCTGCAGCTGCTCCATCGTAATTCTTATTAGTAATTACCTGATAACAAAAAAGCAGAACACCTCAGATTGAGAATCTACTTTTTCCACTAAAATCTCTTAGTCTTAAACAGGGTGAAAACTTTTCTTACCTCAGGAGATGCATAGCATGGGGAACCACAAATAGTAGATAGGAGATCTCCAGGCTGTTATTCCATCAGGATTTGATCAAATCCTCTATAAGCTTAAGTGTAATATAAGTGAAAAATATAATTCTATTAAAGCAAAAGTTTTTTCAGACCTTTCTCAATGCACTGAGCCCAAAGTCAGAAACTTTCAAATTTCCTTTGCCATCTATTAGTAGGTTCTCAGGCTGTCAAACAGGCACCAAGTAAATGCCAACTTAGCTGTGGTACAGAACAGTGATAGGAGAGGAAAAGGATGAAAGTTACATTTCAGCTACAATCTGGAAAGAATTTACCTTCAGATCTCTATGATAAACACCTCTACTGTGGCAGTACTCTACTGCATCAATTAATTGCTGAAAGTATTTCCTTGCTTCTTGTTCAGTCATCCTCTTTAGGTAAGACTGGCGGATATTGGAGACTTAAGATTTAGAATCAATAATGAAGAAACCAAGGAATCATTTCCAGAGTAAAGAACTGGATAAATAAACCCACCAACTTGTTCGAGAGTTGCCCCCCGGAGATATATTCCATTACAATGTAAATCTTTGTCTTAGTTGCAATGACCTGTAATTCAAGATCAGAAAAAGATACCAAATTACAAGAACAGAAAATCAACACCCGAAATATCATAACCAGAAACTTTTGCAGCTCCATTCCAAGAAATTCCAGACAAACCTCATATATTCGAACAATATTAGGATGATTCAGAAGCCTCATTGTACTTATCTCTCTCTTAACCTGACAATTAAGAAATTAAACTTCATGGGTCAGGAAGATGTAATGAGACTCAAAACCAGTTGAAGAAATCTTTTTCAGTTGGCACCTTACAATGACTAGAAACTTGAGTGGGCTAATAACTCACCTGATCCATTAGCTTGTATTGCATGACCATCTTCTTGTCAATGATCTTGACTGCAACATACTGGCCAGTGCTGGTGTCCAGTGCCAACTTTACCTTGGCAAAGGTTCCCTGTCCAATGGACTCACTAAGTTGGTATTTCCCAATTTTGGTTGACAAGCCCATTTTCTTCACTGGAACTAATAAATATAATATCCTATCCTCTTTCTTGTTATTTGCTCTTTGAAGACATGGAAGAAGAATAACTTTGAAGGGTCCCTTTTATTGCCCTTCTGGGAATGCCCCCCTTCTAGGAAGTCATTCACACTGACTTTTCTGTTGGGTGTTAACTATTTAAGGAGGGTGTCATTCACGAGAGGAAGGATGACTGGTAGTTAGTTGTTTGAATGGAAAGTAGTCTTTCGCTCTCTCTCTCTCTCTCCACATAATTTGGCATGTGGATAATTTCTACTTCTGAAAATACATAATGAGAAACCATGCCAGAGTCGTATTTGGGTAGTTCATCAGCTTTGAAGGGACCTAATGCAAAATTAAAGAGACTGAGAGGACAAAGATTGGCGGGAAAAGTGATGATCCAGTTTTACAACAATTAGATTATTTTTGTTGTTCCCACAGAGTCCGAATCTCTGTGGGAATCCTTTGAGACTTGCCGCCTTTGGACTCCAAACGAAAACTTCATTAATTAAACGAAGGTGTTATCCACCATTAATGCTCTCCTGAAGCATTCTCAGACATGGAGGATGAGGGCCGGGGTTAGATCTCCCGATGTTTGAAGGGATAGGAACAATTCCAATAGTTACCTCCCCATTCTTCTTCATTTTCCAATGAAACCTAGGTTCTCTTAGAATCCAGTACTAAAGTTCAGGCCTACTCCGTAGCTAGGATGGGAAATGGTGGTGCTTCGACAGATTCTATATATATGGCGATGATTGCATCATTTTCCCTTCAAGCAAACGCAAAGGACTGCATAGGATTATCAACACCAAGGGAAAGTAAAATCAGAACCAAATCCTTCATCATCATCATCATGGTATAGTGTTGATATCGAGGACCCAACATCTCAGCAACAGTCGTTCAACTCTCGACTATTAGTTGCAGAGCACATTCTGAAACATTTAAAATCTTACAACCGCCTTTTTTTCTTCATTCGTATTTCTATAGATGGAGAGTTTGGTCATTCTGCTCCTTTATTACAGTTGTAGCAACTCTGTTCTTGTCGGTTTTGTACTGGTGGGTGCCCATGGGCGTTGAAGGCTATGGCAAGAGAAGTTGGACCAATCTGATTCTTCTATTCAAAATAAGAAGGCCTATGATTAGATATTGAATCCCTTAAAAGATTTGGAAAAAAAATGGAAAAATACGGATTTGTTCAATGCAGATTTCTGATTTACACTGCAGGGCTATAAACATTCAAATGGACCGATATCCACTCTATGCATCCACACTCACCCGTGAATTGGCATCAATTTCAAGCTGGTACCTACCCCGATCATACATTGAACCTACAAATTCTGACACTGGGGGTATCGGTCATTCTCCCAAAAAAAAATTGAATCACCCCATCCATATTTCCAAGAATCCCACAAATTTAAAGAACTAAACAAGTGGATTTTCTAGGTCTTATGCTGTTATGCAATCGTTAATGATGAATATCATTAGGCTTTAATTTAGAGCCTAAGAGACTTGGGTTTCCTCTATTTTCTTCACTTTAATTTCTTTTTTAAATTTTAAAAACAAAAATACTAGTTAACGGAAGTTTTACCTAAAAGACTTGGGTTTCCTCCACACATCGGAGCAGGGTGTCCATGTGAACACCACCAGACGTGTTAATTTCTGATTGGAAGGGCACCCCACCCCCACCCACACCATTTTGAGTGCAGGAGATCCAGACTCCCCTAGACAAATGGTTTTGAAAATTGAACGGGACTGGACAGTTGGATCGGTTGACCTGGGAAGCAGTTATGCAATCGGTTTTGTTTCAACCTAAAACCACTTCAGTACCAAAAACCATTGATTTGGTCAGGGATTTATTGACCCGGGTGGTTGATCCATCAACTTAGATAATGGTTTTTGACTACTTTTTATTTTTATTATTTTTTTTTACGTTCTTCTTTATTTTTAAATCAGAACAAGTTGTTCATTCAAACCAGATGATCAGATCATTCGACTCAAAAATCGGTTCTCAAAATGGTTTCGTATCCAATCCGATCTTTAAAACCTTGCCCTAGACAACAGTACGAAACACAGCCAAATGGTCCATGGCTGGCATTCCAATCAAAAGTAATTAATTAGAACCTTCTGGTTTTAATCTCGAAAAATGGTTTAGAAACCTAGCTATTAAGGTGTATGATCTCACTCCTTCCTGTTCCAATTTGTCTTATTAGTGGCCCATGGTGCTTTTTTTTTAGGTAGCACGTCCCCAAGAATTAAGAGATAAAATTTAAAGCTCTAGGATACATGAATGAGCATAATTGGCGAGCCAATCCGCAGACGCAGCCTTGTTGCTTTCACGATAAACATGACAATACTTGACCTTCCAATATTTCGACTAGCAACCTGCAACCTTCAATGATGGATTTCAAGACTCTGGATCTTTTGCCCACCTTCACGCCTACCCACAATACATTACCTTTCATGAATTGGAAACATTTCTCTTGCATAATACTATGCAGAGGATGAGATGTTCTCTATATATGATTGAGATAAATGTGGATAGAATTATCGTGAACAAAAGATCCAGACTCGAATTTCAATCTCTAAGAGTGCTCTACCCTACTCTTATGCAGTCAATATGTAACTAATTTAGACTCATCATCTATGATGATGTCTTTGTTGGAGAAGTTAATTAGCAACATTGAGAGATTCAAGCGCAGCCCACGTTTTAGCAAGATTAATAGAGGAGGTTCTACTTTTATATGCCTTACATTCCAGGACTTGACCTTTGAAATCCCTAGCTAAGCAAGCAATTGTCCACTGACCATTGATGCATGAGGCATCAAAATTAATCTTAATTTAGTTTTGATCTAACAGGAACATACTGATTAACCTTTTCTTTGTTTTGATCTAATTCTATGTTTGATATGAATTCCATAAAGGCATTTTTCGCTCTTCCAATGATAATAGCTGGAGGGGTTCTTTCACAGGAACCATAACAGAAAAGCAAATTTTTCTTGAACTAACAGTCCATTTAAGCTGCTAACCGAACTCTTCCACCGATATTCATTATTGTGATACTATTCTCTTGGCTCCACTTATTGAAATCACTCGTCATGGCCCAGACTTGTTTTGCCAAGGTACAATTCACGAATATGTGACTTGTATCCTCTTCTTCTTCACCTCAAATACTGCACATTCCATCGATATCAAAGCCCCTATCAACAAGCCTTCTTTTAGTAGGGAGTTTATCATTCAATAGCAAGTACATGAAGGTTTTAATTTTGGGGGGGATTTTCAGAACCCACACTTTATTAATTTCAGTCACAATTCTATTGTTATTGTCATTCAGATTCATCTTGCAGGCCTCAATATAGGCTGATTTTATCGAAAAGCTTCCGTTCGGGTTGGACCTCCAAACTAGTTTGTCCTCACAATCTCCTAAAGGAATAAACAACACTTTAATTTTCTCCCATGCTGCCATGGGAACAAGATGTTTAATGATGCTTTCTTTCCAAACTTTCCTCTCCATGTCAATAACTTCCAGGTCCGGGTTAGTAATTTGGTTAGGACCAACTACTTTGATCAGAGGCTCCTCATCAGCCCATTTGTTAGTCCAGATGTTAGTGGAGTCTCCGTTCTCAATTATCTAACCTGATCCTCTCTTAAGGAGCTCCCTGCCTCTCCAAGCCCAAGATTAATTTTTCTTCGGATTTATGTCCCATAGGTAGACCTGTTCATGGGCCGGGTGGCCTGACGGGCCGGTCCAGCCCAGCTCGACCCCTGGACGGGCTTGAACAGGCTTTTTGGCCCGTGGGCTTAACCTCAGGCCAAAAAATCCGGCCCACATAAAATTTGAGCCGAGCTTGGGCTTTGTCAAAATAGCCCGGCCTGACCTATAGTTAAACCTAAGTAAACCCGGCCCGACCTATAGTTAAACCTAAGTAAAAACCTTATGTGATGTCCATTTGAATAAATTTTTTGATTTGAGAAGGTTGTTGATTCACTTGTAGGCCCATTGTTCATTTAAATAGGGAAAAAAACATCTGAATTAAAATAGATAATGTCTATTTGAATAGGGAAAATTTTGAATTTCTTTTATTAGGTCGGGCTTCGGGCTCGGGCTCGGGCCCAAGTTGTAGGCCCGTTGATCGGGCCGGGCTCGGGCTCGGGCCTAACATTTTTCTGTTAATAAAGAGTCAAAGCCCGGCCTGGCCCATGAACAGGTCTACCCATAGGTTCTCTCTACCCAAATATTCTTTCCTACTACTTGAATCCCGATGCAGTACAGGATTCGGACTAACTGAGTAAATATTTATAAATTTGGTTTTCGAAGACCAATCTTAGTATATATAGGGAGATGATGATACAGCACAGAATGAAGTTAATAAGTTCTATGCAAGTTGGGACCATTCCAAGACACATAAAAAGCAGAAATGACACCACCGACTCAATTTAGTAAATATTTACTGATATAGCACCATCACAGAATTTCTATCTTAGTTCGTTTTTATCAAGTTGGCGTCATCATAGAGTTTCTATCTTAATTCGTAATTACCAAGTTAGCGTTATTGTAAGATTTCGAATTTATATTCAATTAGGACTTTCCTTTTGAAGGGTTTTAGTAGGATTCTATTATGGAGTGTTTTCTTAGATTAAGATTGCTTAATTAAGACTTTATTTTTAAGGAGTTTTAGTAGGATTATATTATGGAGTGTTTTCAGATTAGGAATAGGAGTCATAAGGGTGTATGCCTATATAAAGAGTAGATAGGAAAAGGCTAAGATAGTTTTTAATATTGAATTTTCTCTTAATTATTCAATGAATAATTCTTCTTATTGGTAGTTTGACTTCTGCTCTTTTCTTTGAAGCTTTTCTCATTGTGTTTCATTTTCGTACTATGCCAAACCCACAAGTTTTCTTTCTCATTCAAAATTTTCCATCTGAGTTTTTCCAAACATGCCTCATTCATCCAAAATAAATTCTTAAGACCTAAGCCACCCCTATGCTTGGTAGAATAAACTGGGTCCAATTGATAAATTGAAGAGGCTTCTTGTCTTTGTTATTGGACCACAGGAAGCCTATCTGTTTTCTTTCCAAGTCTTGAATGATCCCC